AAAAAAAAAAAAAAAAATCATATTTACAGTGACAACTTGATATAATTCATTACTTCATTAATATTCTCAAGTAACTCCTCATACTATAAATAATCTCTTAAATATATTTAGCTTGTGCTTTTATTCACATTAAATCAATAGTCTGAGTTCATAGGCCTAATCATGCTTAACCTTGAAAAATGTTTTCTTTTGCCACAAGACGTCAAATTATCATTAAGGGGAAGTGGTTTTGATTTCCTAGTGTCTTCTCCCATAATGTACAACTTTTGAGTTTTGCATTTAAACAGCCTTGTGTTTTTCTTGACTCTTCTTATGTAGGCATTGATTGTGAAGTAAATGTAGATGCATGCCTATCAGAGTCCTCTCTACATGATGGAGTTTATATTGATGGCATCAATCTTTACAGCTGTGACTGCAAGAGTGGCTTTTTCGGGAAACACTGTGAAACTAGTACAAATGAATGCCTCTCAAGTCCTTGTCTACGAGGAAGGTAGATTTTTTTTTTCCCCTATTGTTAATTAACTCCAAGAAAGTATATTTAACTTATAATATTTAAGACTTAATGTCAAGGGAAAGTTGATAAAGATAATTTTAATTATGTTCTTTCATAAAATAAGAGCTAAGTACTGCTAAGATGACAGATGCTGCCTGTTTTAGTTAATGCAATGTACTGATACATTATCTCTGCCCTTCTTTTATTCCTATTCATTAGCATAAAGTAATTTTCAATAAATGTGGATTAATTAGACTTTAATATACTTAAAAAAAACTGCTCAGGGTAATAGAAATAGCAGGTAGGATGAGGAGACATTCTGTTATTTCCTCGGTGGAGGTCTAATACCACACACTTGGTATTAAGAATGTTCCTAAGTAGACTGGTTCTTTCATCATTATGTGCATGCAAGGTATTTTGTGAATATCTGTATGGAACTTATAATACTTACTTTGCTTATGAATAATATTAGTTTATACAAATCTACAGCAGGAGTATCTCTCCGGGAGATGAATGTGGCAAATAAGAAAGTTTCACAGAGAATGCACCAAGCTGCTTTCGGCAGCATTATTTTCTTTTGTAATCATCGCACTGACTTTGCAAGCAGGGAAGGGATGATGAAGGTGGTTAGCTCATTGCAATGCAGCTTGGCCATGGCTGGATTCAGTTCCTACCTAAGCTGCTGATACACTTGTTATCTTTAAAAACTTTTCTTTCTTTCCTTTGCCATGGGAGGATGACAGAAATGAAAATTGATCAATTCTTTCAGTCAAGTCACCTTGAAGCATAAGAAACCAGGAATAGACTTGCTGTTTCTGTTGCTCATGGGAATGTGTTTCTTCACCTGAGGTGGAAAAGAAGAATTTAAAATAGTAAAACTCTCTTGTAGTTATGCTTTAATTTCTCCTTACTTAAAAATTTAATTCTCTGTTGCAGATGCATAAATCACATTAATGCGTATCAATGCACATGTGATATAGATTGGACTAGCTCAAGATGTGAGATCAAGATTAATGTAAGTTTTATATTTTTTTAATATGTTGATAAGACACATACCTAAAGTAATTTGAAAGAAAAATCTAATTATTTGCTGTAGATTTCAGAATCATTGCTTTAACAGTCACTGATGATTTAACTGCTGGATTTTATCCCCCCTCCCTCCCTGTGCAATTCCTCAGCTGCTCCAAGTAAAATCACAAATAAGAGCTTTGTTTCACTTTCTTTTTACCCTTAGTCTCTTGTTAACATAAACTACTGCAATCTTGAGTTATCATTAAGCAAAATTCAAGAAGTGGTCTCTGTCAAAAGAAGCTCTCGATGACTTGTGTTTTGTCATCTGCTCCCCTTCCCCCATTTGTTTTTAGAACACACAGGTACCTATGGATATGTAGAAATGAGGTAGGGTTAAATTGATCCAGACACTACAAGAAGAAAATAATGGATGTGCTGAGACAGGGGTATATGTAGAGAACCCCAACACCTATAATACTCTGGGGATTTGAATTCCTATATTCAGGAATCAGAGACAGTGTGATCATACAGTGCATTTAATGTGGAATATCTCATCTAGTGAAAAATGTTAGCTACTTGAAGTTTTGTGGTCATTCCTGGAGAATAAGAATCTTGTGAGCTCTTCTGGATAATGGGGAATTCTTCAAATCCTTCTTGACTGACACTTGTATGGTAAAGGAAGGAAGCACAGGGACGGAAAGCAGCCTTTGGCATCATAAGACTATGGGCATTTATTTCAATCTTTTGTGTCTCTGCTTCTTCAGTAGTAAAAATAGATTTTCGTACATCATAAGGTGTGATGATCCTCATAAGACATGGCAGATATTCAGTAAATAGCCTTTTCAGAAGGATTGATGAAGTGGTTTAATGTGTTCAGGTAGACAAAGATTGAATCTTTATTTTACTACTCCCCTGATGTATGTTTTTGGGCAAATTATTTGTATATTATAAAATTATGTTCCAGGTATTCAATCAGCATAACTATAGCAATATATGGGAGCTCTGGTAGCATAGTGGCTA